TAAGCCAAATGCTGATTCTCAGTGACCAAAAAACTAACTACAGTCAAAGTCGTCAATCCGCCATCTTTGGATGCCATTTTGGGGCAGTGCGTTCACTTTTTTTTGTGGGAACATTGGCTTTTTTTTAATAAATTGTTACAAGGAACACAACGATATGCAATTTATAGGGATGTGGGGGGGAGGGGTGCACGGTAAGGGGGTCTGGCCCACAGACTATAACGGCGAGGAAGGGAAGAACAAAAAAAAAAAAAGGTTCTTGCGATTGGGCCCGAACAATTTTTTTTTTAAACTTTTATTATTTTTGTATATTATTATTTTTTGACTTCTGCTTAGCATGGATTTCTAAATTGTTCTATACCAATCGATTTGTATTGCTGTTTTTGTTAAACAAGAAAAACATATTGCTAATTGTCTTGTATAATCATTTTTTAGCTTATATTGTTTTAAAAAAGAGATATATCTCACAGTGAAATCCAAAAAAAGTCTGAAATTTAGATTTTCAAGCACTGCGGTGAACCCACAAGTCTTTGAGCGTGGAAAACGTAAATTTTTCAGATAAAAAATCTAGTGCGCGCAACACACAACTTTCACTTACCCCTCTAATTTGAATAGAAATTATTTTCTGGCAAGGTTGGGCTATTATAAAATTTTTGAAGTGCATTTTAAACGGGGATAAAGCTTAAAGCTTACAGATAATAATAGATACAAATCATTAAGAACATTAAAATTACAAAAAGACTATTTATTACATCGACAGAAGGTAATAAAAATCTAGTTACTCCATCTGCTTTTATAAACCATACAACTTCAGTCGACGAGCCTTTCAGTTGACAGAATGACTAACTCCAATTTCAACATTTTTGAGTAACGTCGCTTCAGTGATATTTCTAGTTGGAAAAGTTGTATCTATACAGACAGTGAGTTATGTAGATTCCAGAGTAGGTGATTCTGGCTGTTATTTTCGGAGATTCATTTTCAATCTGGATATGAATTTTTCTTTTATTTTCCAGTTTCCAATTATCGTATTCTTTCAAGCTTCATATTTAGCCATTTTTACTTTCACTTACGTAAATACGTAATATATGGTAAGAGTAAGTATTGCAATCGTGAAAATGTTGGAACGATATATTGGAAAGCTTTACAACGATTTATTTATTATACATATACCTTCTGACTAGTATTTCCGGAGATTCATTTTCGACCTGGATAAGCATTTATATTTTTTTCTCGTTTATTCAATTATTAAATTCTTTTACTTTAGAAGAAGACGTATATAAACATTGGATATTTAAGCCCTGTAAAGTGGCATCAATGGCGATAACACCTGATTGATATTAAAGACCACTTAATTATACAATGATACACCTAGTTTAATGAAAATGGTTAGTGCCGTTTTTGAGAATATTGTAAAAATGTGTTTCAGCGTTGATATAAAGTTGTATTTCTGGGAGAGGGGGGAGCCGATTTTAGAGTGCTGTGACATCTAAGGCATATGCATGTCTTAAATACGTGATTTCAGTTTCGTACAATTTTTCGTTTTTGAGCTAGACTGCTAACATACACACATAATATTTTAAGGGACTTGGTTATTTGTACTCAGGGTACCTCAAAACGTGCATTTCCGTTGAGAACTGAGATTCAAAAATATCCACGACCGCAATACTTACCCTTACTATATATTACATATATAGGTAAGTGGAAGTAAAAATGCTTATCCAGGTCGACAATGAATCTGCGGAAATACCAGTCAGAAGGTATACGTATAATATATCGTTGGAAAGCGGAGGATTTTAGACAAATAAAAATTAAAAGTTGTAGAAGGTAACGGGGAGTGACAAAAAAATTATAAATAATAATTTTTGAAAATTAATAATATTTACCGTAAATCACATGTTTTCAAGGAAATTAAATGAAATTTACTAACTAAATGTAAGCTTTTAAAATATTTTTAAGTTTGAAAAATGTATTTAAAATCCACCTAATTAAGGCAATGACATTATTTAAAAAACTATTTCATTGTACTTGTGTAAAAGAAGAAGTAAAATATAAAATCATTTCATTAAATATAAAGCATATGTTTATAACCTTAAAGCGGATGATATTATATTTAAATAATTACGATTTACTTGAAGTATTTATGTAATACAGTTGTAAATGTCATAAAGAAATAAAAAAAAAATAATAATAATTACGTATCAACGTCCATTTATTCCGAAATATTGTCATGTAACTTTTTAGAAAATTAAATTAGTGAATAATTTGATGAATTTTCCCTTTATGATATTCCAACAGTATCCACTACTATTTCATTGTATTTGTGTGAAATATATTATATATTTACTGTAATATAATAGCTCTAGATCTGATATTATATTAAAATGTTTAGTTATCTATCGTCCGTTTATTCAGAAAAATCAACATTTAACCTTTTAGAAAATTAAATTAGTGAATAGTTTGATGAAATTTCCTTTTGTGATATTCTAACAGTATCCACATACAATTAGTGTGACAACTTTTGACCTGTCTATGACAGACAATGCAAATATCTTAATTACGTTTCAGTAAACTTTGCAATAGAAAATAACAGTTTAATAACTATTCGTACAATCTATAATTAACGGATCGTACAATCCACAAACAAACGATGATATAATAAATAGAACTTTTGTTATTTTAATTTATGATTTGTTAGTTGTAATTGTTTAGCTTTAGCTAAATTAAAAATGTAATTCAAAAATTTTATAATAGCCAAACATGGTCACAAAATAATTTCTATTCAAAGTTGAGCGGCAAGTGAAAGTGTGTAAGTGTGTTGCGCGAACCAGATTGTTGTACTTACTGTCAATAAAAGAGATTTAAATTTTCTAAAGAACTGCGGTAGAAAACTCTGAAGAAGAGCAGTTGCTAAAAAAATGTGTTCCTACTATAAGTTATTAAATTCTTGAATTTATGAAGTATTTTATAATGAAAATGTGGTCTCCTTAAAGGCATAAGTTTTTTGTATAGATATTTAAAGTCAAAAAAGACACTTTACGTATGAGTGCGCGTGAGTTAGCTGGCCCTAGTGGACTGCCAGATAAGGCCGTTTTATCCAAACTTATGAAGAGAAAGTTAAGCTCTAATTCTAATGTTTCATCGAAAGACGGAATAAGTGAAAAAAAAAACGAGCAAGTTCAAAAAAATCTGTGATAAAAAGCACATCAACAAATTCTAACCAAAAACCAACATGTGGTAATTTACATAACCTCCTTAACTCCACTAATATAGAAATGAATCATTTAAATAATGAAAACCATAACTCTACATTAAATATTTCTGAACCTATACCAGAACATGCAAATAACCATACTGAAATGCCAGAAAATCTTATTCAGAGCTCAAATTCGACAAATATTTCCACAACATTAAATAGTATCCCTAACGTTCCAGTCGGTAATATATTTGAACCTCTTTCTACCGAAATGGAAGATGTACCTAATGAAACACAAGCTGTTCACGACCACCTCCAATTAAAATAAAAGGCATAACTAATTCCCAAACGCTTTGCACGGATTTATTAAATCTCTTAAGAGAAAATAACTTTGAATGTTTCTCTAACAAATCAGTTGTTGCGTTAAAAACAGAAACAAGTGACGCATACAAAGCATGCGTTAGATATCTGGAAACTAATAATCATAATTTTCATACTGACCAATCGCAAGAAGACAAACCTCATAGATTTGTAATAAGAAACTTCCACTACACCTCACGAAATGATAAAATATGATCTGGAGAGAAAAGGATTCACCGACCGACTTATCAATAATGTTTTGCATCCGCGGTCAAAGAAACCACTCCCTCTGTTCTTTGTCGACTTAGAGCCAGCTCCGAACAATGCTGAAGTCTTTAATACCACCAATTTGGCTTATACTAAAGTTAAAATTGAAGAGCCTTATAAAAGAAGAAATATTGTTCAATGTATGAGATGCCAGGAATACGGACATACCAGAACCTTTTGCCATCACAAACCAAGATGTGTGAAGATCACCCTAGTGATAGGTGCCAGAAACCACTTGAAAAACCATCTGTTTGAGTCGTTGCAATCATCCTGCAAACTATAGGGGATGCGCAGTTCCCCTCGAGTAGCAGAAAAGAAGACTTAATATGCGTAGCCAGGCCGCTTCGAATCGAGAGTTACCAGAACACCTGCCTCCAGAGGCGGAATATGACCAACTTACACTGTTCATATCTCTCAAGAACGACACAATATGACTTACGCACAGATAGCATGTACTAATACTACATATCATACCACAAGACCACAATTCACCACTGCTCAAACAACTATAACTCCTCAATACGCAATTTCTTACAATATCGCTCCTCATACAACCCCTCAAATTACTATTCCCCAAACTTCAAATATATCTCTTCATGAAGTAATCCATCACAATTCCTCATCATACAACTCCTCAAATTACAAATCCCCAAAATCCAAATATATCTCCTCAATGCACAGCTTAAATTAAAAATCCTCAACCTCCAACTATATCTCCTGAATATACTACTCCTCGAATTACAAAACCTCAAAGTCCAACTATATCACCTCAATATACTACTCCTCAAATTACAAATCCCCCAAATCCAAATATATCCTCTCAATGTACAGGTCAAATTACAAATCCTCAACCTCCAACTATATCACCTCAATATACCACTCATCAAATCACAAATCCTCAACCTCCACCTATATCCATGGAATAAGGGACATTAATAGGAAAATAGTTTAGAAAAATAAATTTGAAATTAGAATAAAAAATAATACGTTTTCATGCTGCTTAAAAAAAGTTATTTTGTTCACTATAATATAATAATCAATAAATAATAATAGTATATAGTATACATAATTAACAAAAAGAAAAATACGATCACAGTGACTGAGCTCTGCTGTTCACGCTTTTTATTTTAGGTTAGTAATAATTATTTCATTTTTAATAACTTATACATTTAATATCTTTCAGGGACTCAGCTCAACATTCTGTGGATCTTTACCTTATTCTGCCCCCGAGATATTACGAGCAAGACCTTACGATGCCAAAGGTTCGGATATTTGGGCTTTAGGTGTCGTAATATATGTAGGACTTAACAAATCGATGCCTTTTCCAGACCTACCTCCTAAAAGGCTTTACAAATTGCAAAAAAAGAAAAGCTTCAAATTCAGGATTAAAGTCTTGCCTCATCTGACTCAGGACTGCTTCGACTTCGTCTACGCGTTGTTGGAACCTGATTGCAAGAAAAGGCCCAAAATAGAAGACATTATACAGCACCCATGGTTTATCGAAAACGGAGAACGGTTGAAGCGTAGTGAAAACGAAGAACGAGCCTACGAATACGCCAAAAGAAATAAGAAGACATTTTGGACACAAATGGTCACAGAAGATATTGTCATTGAGGATCTTCCTGTGACGACGTTGGCCGTAACAGAATCCTCACAAAATGATTTCATGGTGAAGAAGCCACACCAATCCACTTTGAATGCCTTGCGTAATGCCAGTTACTTTGGACGAAGAGTTGTTCCTAGTCCTACGGTCTCTGTTGATAATAAAGAATCAGAGAAAGGTATAATTGTGAAAATTTCTATTTCTATAGTTAAGTTATTTATTTGAGTTGTATTCCTGAAAAAAATATTTACCATGGAAGACTTAGTGAAGATAAAATGGCGGAATATATGAGACCCCTAGAAGCAAATGGGTCTAAGTGACAAAAACCAATTTTAGGAAACTGTGGTTGAAGTTTAATCTCCCCTGAAATTGCAGTGATTTTTTTACACTGGCGGACTTTCTTTTTTATGAGCCCTTCAATATTTCTAAAGCCACTATTACCTTACTTATATTTAAATAGAAACACATTTTCAACCAAGGGTGCCCAAAGTGGGTTGCATGACAAATTGCACTATCAAAATGTTGCCTGGGAACACGTTTTTACAGGTTTTGATTTTTTAAAGGAGCGCTTTTTGGCAGGGTTTTGAATTTTCGAGGGAGTGCTTTTTTAAGTCTTGGGTGATTATTGATTTCACCACTTTCTTCTGCCTCTCGTAGTCAATAATCTTCCTGCTATGGCTAGGTATGTATTCCAGAACTCTTTTTATCTTTACGCTTCTTTAACTTGGCTATCCCACCACGGTGTTCTTTTATTTCGTTCCTTTATCCTGCTCTTGCTAGAAATATTTCTTACACCTGTCACGAGAATAGATTTTAAGGCTTTCCATGACGTTCCCAAATCATCGCTGTCCCACAGGTATTCTCCTTACCCCATCATTTGTTCTATTTTCTGCTGGAAGCGAAAATACAGTGAAATACAATCTTACTTGTATCAATTTTTAATATATTTTATAATAAAAGTAAAATAGAACTTCAAGGGAATATAAATCATACATAGCTAACAATATTCCTATTCATTTTTGAGCCGTATAGATTGACAAATTTCCAGATCAGCCATGCAATTTTTTTTCTTAAAATGTACTTACACCCTTTTGCCTCTAAGGTAAGAAAATAAAACAAAAATCAGGCAGAAATCTCTTAAAATGGTCCTTATTAAATGATCACTGTTGGTGGCCATCTTAGGACGATATGCAAACAGGTTATTTTAACTACAAATTTAAAATCCCATTTATTCTTCTCGAAGTCTCCCGATGGTTGATGAAATTCACCCTTATTTTATATGAAATATATATAATATAATAATATATATATATAATCAATAAATAACTTCTGGTTTGGCCAGATCGAATAGAACTTGATGCAGATGAGGGACCAGCTATTGGGATTCCTGATGAACTACCCAGTAAGATTTTATTTGTATATATTTATTTTTGAAATATGCTACATATACAAGGTCGTAATGCCCGAGCGTGTTGAGGCGTTATCCGGTTTAACATTTTTTTTGTCCTCGCCTTTCCGCTTTATTGCTTTTTTTCTCGGACCAGGAATGAGGCAGTGGATTAATGTTAGAGTTAAATGCCTTCCCCTCCATGGGTAGAGTGACTTGTTGAACTTTGGTTTATGGGATTTCCTGGCAATTCGTGTTTTGCACACATTAGCGGGTCGAAATTTATTTCGTGGCGAAGCCACATAATTATTCTCGACCTTCCCAATCTGGTTAGAATAGTTCTAGAGGTTATACCTCTAGAACAACCCTCTTATATGACATAAATAGCAAAATAACGGAATATAAATTTATTTGTATATTATAATGTACGACAGAAATATACTGTAATGGAGAATGGTGCATCCTAAAGCCTAGTCCACATTAGTAGACATGTTGTGCGATTTTGGTCTCTGAGACATGTCTCAATTTGTCTATCTAGATATGTTGATAGACCTATCCTCGTCTACAGGCCAGTTGCGAGACGATAAATCGCACGTCTAAAGTCTCCCGAACGGAATGGGAGACATTATGCAACGTTAGACATATTCCGCAACATTTTGATAGTGTGGACGGTACTCGGGGTCTAGAGACGAAACACGTCCAAGTCTGCCTTCACCTACTGAATGGTTGGTTCGGCTGTTAACAGTTATTTTACAAAGTTTCACAGTTCTTTTGAAAACGTGTGGGCCAAAGAGAAAGTATTAAAACTAATTGGAAATTACCATGGCGTCCCTCAGTCTTAATTTATTTAATAATGCAACACCGAACCTAGGTCCTTCTGCGGACACTGTGCGCATCCAATGCTTACGTGTTGTCGTTCTTTCACTTGTAATTAGCACTAAGCAGGAACTCATTCCACAAAATATATGTGGTTGCGACTATGAGACTAAGAGATGCACACTAGACGAGACAAAAGGTGTCAATAGACGGTCTACAGGCCGTGTCTCGAGACCGTCTCTAGACAAATCTAGAACAATATCTACTATTGTGTACTAAGGCTTAATACTATACAGTGAAAATGTTATAATAAGTGGACTTTTTGTTGAATTAGAATGACTATTACATTAAGAGAAATAATCTATATCGTTACACATAGATTAAATCAATTTCTCAAATTATAACTTTATATACTTTATATATAAACCGACACCACCAATCGCTTATTACACACCTCCCTCCACCGTTCGCCGTCCAAACCCAGTCCCTTCAGATCGGCTTTAATGCAATCTTCCCACCTTCGCTTCGGTCTACCCCACGGACGCTTACCATTCGGCACAGCAAATATTAATCTTTTAGGAATTCTCTCGTTACTAAGCCCAACAACTTTACAAGCCCATTCGATTCGCTGTGACGCAATTACCTCAATTATATTACCCTGATACAGTTCACGCAATTCGGCATTGTGTAACCGTCTGAATTCTCCGGTTAACTCATCCTTCTTCGGTCCGAATATTCTACGCAATACTTTATTTTCAAAAAACCTTAAGACGCTGCTCATCCCTTAATGTAAGCGGCCAAGTTTCGCATCCATAAAGAACTGTAGGCAAGATAATTGTTTTATAGATTCTAATTTTTAAGTTCCGGGACAAGAGGCGCGAACTGAGTAGTTTTGTCACGGAAACATAACAAGCATTTCCCGCCTTCAGTCTAACCTTAATCTCTTCTTCAATTTCGTTTTTTCTAGTTATCGTAGAACCTAGATACCTAAATTTATCTACCTGTTCAAACATATTACCATCTATATCGATATCACCAGTAGTATCGCCATTTTTGCAGCTAACCATATATTTTGTTTTATCCGCGTTTATTTCGAGTCCTAGTTCTTTACCGGCTTTCATTAACGTTGTCGTATTTAGTTTTATAGTTTCAACGTCTTCGCTTAACAGTACCAGATCATCAGCATAGCCCAGCACGGATGTTGTCCCACCCAGATCTTACCCTTTCTCGGTTCGCATTACCTCCCTAATGGCATGTTCTAATGCTAAATTGAATAGTGCAGGTGAAAGGGAATCCCCCTGTTTTAAACCCGAGCGAACCTCAAATTTTTCCGACAGATTATTACCGATTCTAATTTTATCGAGTGTCTCCGTCAAGCACATCCTGACTAGATTTACTAGTTTTTTTGGAATCCCCTGTTCTATTAGAATATTATAGAGTTTCTGACGGTCAATAGAATCGTAAGCCTTTTTAAAATCTATATACAGCTGGTGAACAATACCGTTGTACTCCAATTTTTTCTCTATTTGCCGTAAAGAAAATATTTGAATCAATAGTTGAACGATTCCGTCTAAATCCGCATTGGTAGTCTCCGATAATTTCCTCCGCGTATTCCGTGATTCGACTAGTTAGGATTAAAGTGAATATTTTATAACATACCGGAAGGAGAGAAATTCCTCGATAGTTATTACAATCCGTCCTCGGACCATTTTTGTAAATCGGAATAAGAATAGATTCTTTCCATTCCTCAGGTAATTTCTCATTCACCCAGATCTTTTTAACCAACCGATGTATTTTAGGAATATTATCGGTTCCCGCTGCTTTATATGATTTTAATTTTCCGATAGCTACTTCAACTTCCTCTTTACTTGGTCCTTCCATTAACGGTTCAGCACTCTCGTACTCAGAAGGAGGACACAGATCATAATTTGCCGTATTTAAAACATTGTCAAAGTAGTCCTTAAACTTATTCAAAATGTCAACCGGATCGGTCAGAATATTGTTATTATCATTCCTAATTCCAGACGTAACGAGCCTTACACATTTTCGTGATCTGTTTATACCTTTGTACATGTCTCTTACGTTATTTTCGATTCTATTAGTTTCTATTTCAATTATTTTATTTTTAAGATACTCCCTTTTTTTATTTTTGAGCAATTTTGTCGTTTCGTTCTTTGAGGTTCGGAAGTATTCCAGATTGTCTTCGCTAGGATTATTTAGAGATTTTAATTTAGCGGCTTTTCTTTTTTCGCACATCTTTAAGCAATCTACATCAAACCACGGTTTGTTATTCTTATTTTCCTTTTTACCTAGACACGAGTTACCGACCGCTTTAATATTATCCCTGATCTCTACCCATAACTTGTCAATATCCTCGTGGTCCTCGTCAGGAAGCTCTAAAACTTCAAACCTATTCTTAACATCTAGCTCGAATTGGGTTCTAATTGATGGATTTTTTAATTTTTCTAAATTAAAATTCTCAAAATCGAAGCGGTTTTCTTTCCTCTTTTTTACATTAAGTTTTTGTCGAAGTTTCGCGATTACTAATTCATGATCTGACCCACATTCTGCTCCGCGATAAGACCGTACATTAATTATACTGCTTTGCCAGCTATGTTGTATCAAGACATGATCGATTTGATTTCGTGTTTGCGAATCCGGTGATGTCCAAGTATATTTATGAATGTCCTTATGTTTAAACGTCGTACTTTTAATTATCAGGTTTTTCGAGATGGCAAAGTTTATCAGACGGATACCATTATCATTACTATATTCGTGCAAACTATCTTTACCAATCGTCGGAATATAAACTTCTTCCCTTCCTACTTTTGCGTTCGCGTCACCTAAAATTATTTTCATGTAGTTTATCATAAACCCATTCGAGTTTATCGTAAAATTCACTTTTGACTTCATCGTCACTGTCTTCGGTCGGACAATGTATGTTTATTAATGCGATTTTAAACCAACGTCCCTGAAATATAGCTACCGAAATTCTATCACTGAAGAATTGTACGTCCCTCAAAGCGGATAGTAATCTACTCCTAATTAGAAACCCGGTACCTAAACAATGATTCCCGCTTCCTCCGTACCAAATAGTGTACTTTCCTTCCCTCATCGAGCCCTTCACTGGCCAGCGAACCTCTTGCAGAGCCACGACATCCAAATTGTACCCATTTACCTCATTCGCGACCGATTTTAGTCCCTTTACCCGATTTTTTAAACTCCTTACGTTCTACGTACCAATATTTAAATCCCTATATTTCAACTTGCGCCATGAATCCCATAAAGCAGTCCCCACCCGGAGACCCGAACGGGAGACTAGTTTACCTCCGGATAGTGAGCGTTTTACCTTAGGGAGATCCATGACTATTTGTGGTGTTTGGTGAACTGAAGATATGTGAGTAGGGCGTTCAATCCTACGCCACACCCTCCAGCAATCAGGTGGGCCCCTACCTCCAGCAAATCTGGAGGTCCCCTCCCTCCAGCAAGTCTGGGGAGCCCCTCTCATTGTTGGTCAGATTGTCGGACTTAGCCGGGAGGAACTTCCGAGGAATTTCCACCGACCATCCCCACATCCGCCACCCGTGGGATGCTCCCCATACGCGGTAATGAGCCCGCGCGAGGAACTTTATATAATTAGAAGAAAAAATAGATGATGATTCATGTAATTAACAGAAAACTTCAAATCAAACCGTTGAAGTCCATCAAAATTTTGTTTCTTAATCCTTAGATGCATAGGAGCAGACTTGCGATTTTGATTGGGGGAGGGGAAGGGAAGCGACGGTTAAAATAAAAAAAAATAGCGGGAGTTTTTATTATGTGTAAAATTCAACATAATTATTTTGAAACGAACAAATATAATATGAATGCTTAAAATTAATTTGAATATTTAATAGTTGACCGTTGCATTATAAAGGAAGGAGATGGTCCGGGGTTGCGGTCATAAAAAGGCTAAATAGTGGTAAAACTATTTTATTGAAAGCCAACGTTTCGACCCGACTTTGCAGGTCTTCATCAGGGAGGTGTGTTCAGCTTTCAATAAAATAGTTTTACCACTATTTAGCCTTTTTATGACTGCAACCCCGGACCATCTCCTTCCTATAAAATTAATTTGTTTATATGTTTTATGTTAGTTGTAAGAATTTTTATTTATTTATTTATATTTTTACTTAATATATATACTTGAGAATATCTAAAGAAAAAACACAATTTTTCATTAAATCTTCAACATTTTCTAAGGGTTTCTAAGGCTTTTGTTTTAAATAGAACGAAACTGTTTAACATTGAAATATGTTTTTAATATTTAATATTTATTTGTGACTGCTCATAAATAATTTATGAATTGTGTAATATGAAGGATTGATTTTGAGGAAATTTTTTTTACAATAATTATATAAAATTATGGTTAGATGGAATATATAATAATGGAATAATGTTTCCTCTTGATAATGCGCGAAATTGCCATAACGTCATCAAGAAGTTGGAATGAATTAAAGCATTAAGTAAATGTATAAGGGTTAAAATAAATTGTTGTTCATCGATATTATAAATTTTATTTTAAAATACAATTGAATATGTAACGTATTTGTTTAGACTAAACACAGAGTTGAGGGCGAGACAGCCTTCATAACATAGTTAAATTTCAAGAAGTTTTTTCAGCTAAAAACGAATAATGTAAACAAGTAAAAAATATTTTGGATTTCTTAGTGTGTACAACGTTTTTCACAGCCCGACTATGTGATGAGAATATCTCTTGAAAATTTAAGGATGACTAAATCATAAGATGCTATAATATGTTGATATATATATTAATATCTTTGAATATAAATGACAATTAAAATGAAAGTAACATGTAGGTAAATAATAAAATAGTTAATAAAATAGTTACTTACTTTAGCACTACGCTTTAGCCTAGCCATTAGAATGTGTAACCATTATGTTATTTAACGGTCAACATGCAGGGCAAGTACCTTTCCTACTGGATTTTTTAAATAAAATTATAGAGAATAGAAACTTTCTAAAAAATATATATTTATTGAAATTTATTTGGTATTAGTTGAACAATACAACAAGTAAATTTGAATTGGTAATAACACATATCCAACTTTAACATTAATTTGGAATTTAATGGCTACAAAGCTCAACCCCGCAAGTCCAAAAAGATCTAATTATGGCCATGTATATGAGTATTTTGTAATTAATTGGAACTTTAGAGCGTTTCCTAGTAAGTACTGAAGTAATCGGAATATTCGAGTGGTTTCTTGTCGTTTCAGTCTGATATGAGGATTCCAAGTTAGACGTTTGCCTTAGCGAAGCCGTAGGTATCGGATTTGTTCAACAAGGATAACTGGGGTTTTATCAAAGAATACTGAAGGACACGATGGGATTTATTGGAATATATTTTAGTCCTCCAGTTTCGACACCACTATTCACGATTTTTTCTGTTTGTTTGAAGAGTTTGAGTTGTAATTGTTGTGTCGTTATAAAGTAATAGTACATGGGTGCCATCGGAATAGGTGGTGACAGTGTTGGGATGGGTTGGAATGTCATCTGTATAAACTGTATAAAGAATAGGACCTAGGATACTACCTTGAGCACTAGAAAAACAGGATGAATAGGATTGCTGTAATTTACTTTGGAGTATCTATTAGTAAGACAGGAAAGGTTAATGAGGGAATATGTAGGTGGTAGAAATTTACAGAGTTTTGACAACAGTCAAACTCTATCAATCCCCGTTCAACGTCGAGAAAAACTTCAGTCCAGTACATTCCACGCTCCAAAACAGAGGAGACTGACTACGTCAACCACACGACCTTGGGTAGTGGAATGGGATGTAGTATGGAATCCATATTGGTGATCTGGGATTATGTGATTAGAATCTAGAATGGGAGAAACGGGTATTAAGATGATTTTTTCCAGGATTTTTCCCATAATGGGTAAAAGAGAAGTAAGAGGGCGGTAAAAGAATAATTATTCTGGTGGCTTTTTGGGTTTATGTATCATTTTGATAATTGATTGTTTCCAAGGGTCAGTAAAATATTTAGATCGGAGCACGGGCGGATCTACGGGGGGGGGGGGGGCTTTCGGGCTGAAGCCCCCCCCCCAAAATGGTAAAATATAACTATGTTTTATGGGAAAATATATTAATAAATTATCTCTTAAAGTATTATTATTGGTGTAATTACATTTAAAAGGGCTTAAGGAATCACTTAAACACCATTTCATATAGATAGCTAGTTTCTTTCTTTTTTTCCAAGGTAATTATCGCCATTTTTATGAAAAAAAAAGCTTTCGGGCTGAAGCTCCCCCCAAAATTGAATCCTGGATCCGCTAGTGGATCGGAGTACAGCATATATATATATATATGTAAGTAAGAAATAGAATGGCCTTCTGAGGAAGCAATTTTAGGATCTAAGATGTAACCAGGGGTCATGTCCTGAAGCTTAGCAGGAAGGTAACTGTGAATGATATTGGATATTTCTAAAGGATCCTCACTGATTGTGAACGTAGAATGTTTAACTGTTTATAAAAGCACTATAGATACAAAGTCTGAGAATAGAATTTGGGATACTAACCAGTTTACAAAATAGGAAAGACAAAACCATACGCATATTAAGCTACAGTTGCGGCCATGACACTGTACTTGATACGCTGGATGGAAAACCAAATTTTTATTCTTGCTCTGGTATTGGTAAAAAATTGCTGCTTCACGATTTCCGTTACATCTAAATTTGCGCATGGCCTTATTTTCATTAGAAAGTTCTCTTCGGTTGAAACGTAAAAAAAAAAAGATTATTTTAGATCCAATATGTATCAATCAATATGTCATAAGAAAAAAATAAAGCTATTGCTTCTTCCCTACAGGTGAGAAACCCCAAACGAATGAAACTGTAGCGGTTATTGAAGAATGAAATTGTGATGTTAAACTTATTTTCGTCGAAGTCGAAAATGGCCATTTGTAAACTGTAAATATATTTTTAATAAGCTGTAATGGACGTCCTTTAAAAATAAATACATCAGTAACTAATAAGCATGTTTTTTATTATAAAGATCAATATAATTGCTCATGAAATATTTTAAAAATTATTCATTATAGTAAAGAACAATTGCGCCCCTAGACTTTCTGAATTATTCTTTTCTATTTCTCGTAGGAAGGGGCGATAGTCGATAGCACTTTCGACATATCAATAGTTTAAAACTATCGAAAGTCTCTAGGAAGTATCCTCTACTTATACAGAAATTATATTAAAATTTTATAAACTTAAAGGAATAACTTTAATAATACGCCTTCATTCTTTTACCTATATATTGATTTACGAGATGTAGTGATTATATAACAATGTAAAAGTTAAATGTTTGATAATGGAAAACGGTTATTGTATAATAGAAACACCACATTAAGAAAAAAAGTGGATAGAAGTGTGAAAGCGTATTTAAAACTATTCTTATCAGTACATAAAACTAAAACTAAATTGAACTATAAGAAGCCTTCAAGGTGAAAAATAATTCAATCTCAAATTACATAGTCGAGTCATAGATATTATTACTAGGAAATATACACAGATTTCAATTCAAGATTTTTTTCAAAAACTTTATTAGAAAATAAAATGTATATCTATTGAGAGTAAAACAAAAAATGAATTACTCAAAATGTCCCCCTTTTGCCTTGACACAGGCATTTAATCTCCTTGGCCAGTCATCAATAGCAAGCGCGCAGCACTTCTTCAGGAAAGCGCTCAACTGCTCGGACCAGAGATTGTTTGAGGCTTTCCAAGTTAGGGTGTGCTCTGTGCCATTCCATCCTCTCCAGTCCGATAATCTAGTGGGTAAAGATCAGACCTTTCTGAGGACCAATCCGAGGCAGAAGAACTCTGGAATGTTCTTTTGCAGCGATTGCTGAGTTTACCTGGTCTTGTGAGCTGGAGAGGAATCCTGCTGGAAAACCCAATGACTTCCAGCAAACAGAGGGTCATCTAGAGGCTTGACAACCGATTCCAAAATATCGTCCTGATAGTTTTTAGCGGCTGTTTTAACTCCTTTTTCACAAAAATGGAGCTTTGTGGTGCCATCAAAGCAAACTCTCCACCAGACCATCACTGATGAACGGCGATGACCTCTTTCCACTCTTTCAATGACTTTATGGGATTTTTTAGAGCTGTGTGCGTACATACGATCATTTTTGGCGATTATATTTTTCTTTATTTGTAAAAATGTTCTCATCGCTAAACAAAATATTTCGATGAAGACCATTGGTGTAACGGCCAAGGAGCAATTTGCTAAACTAAAAATTTTCAGGATAAGGAAAAAAAAACTGCGTAATTTATGTTCTATGAGCATTATATTTTCGGTTCAATTTATGTTTTTGTAGGTCTAAGACAACGATATAATGCGCTATGTAACTTTTGTCATTGTATTTCTGCCAAATAATCTTTTAGAGCCATTACTTCTAAATTATAGCTTTTTATTTACTTTGAAAAACAGGTATTAGTAAGGTAAAAGCAACCAAATTTATTGTAATAACACCAATAATTTTGTTAGTAATGATCAAAGCATGACAGGAACAAATTCAGTTTCCAAAATGTAAAGAAACGATTCTTCAAATGAAAATTTGTAAAACATTTGACGGCTAAGGTAATTTGATCAGAGGAGTTATTCACTTTTTGTCTCCCACTGTAAGGTCGGCTAGAACGGAGTTCAAGCGCCCCATTGGAGTAGCCTATCAAAAATTCGTTTTTAACATACTCAAGTTTATATGGACATGGTTCGATTCACGAATGCTTGGTAAGCTCTAGGTAACCTGATAAATTTCTTTGTTTCTGAGCTTCTCCATCCATCTCCAAGATCCATTGCTTTGGAAAGATGAAACTAAAGTTCTTTTTTCGGCGGCATTGTAGCTTTTGTCCAGTATAGCTCATTTTGCAGTGTCCAGGAGGTTTGGATTGTTTTGAAGGTCCTTTAATTTTATATTCCCTCTTAATACTCTCTTCTTTGCTTCGTCTAGTTCCATGGTAAGTAGTGCCGGCCTCAGAGCCGGAGAGCCTGGGTATTTTTAGGAGCCAGGCTGCTGGTGTCAGCCACTTATCAGAGATTAAAAAATACGAAGCGTATTAGAAAAATTAATTTTATCCTATTTATAAAGCTAATTGATACTGTAGTCTATGCGCAGAACGTTATACATTTATTTATTTAGTTATGCATTTGTACATTCTTTATTTACTTGACCATCTTTCATCGAGCATTTCATAACGTTTTTTCGGTAACGACACAATCTCTATAACTTTCACTACAACTTACAGTGTTTTACATCAGAATTCGCTGGTTTTTAAATGACAAGTTTTTACAAAAGGCCATGGAGAAGAAATGAAATATCGTATATTTCATTTTGTGGGATCAGAATTTGCGCCAGGACGATTAACCAGAAAAGCTCAAAACCTCATTTTTCATAAAAATTGTTCTTACAGGCTTTTGCAGTCTGGCTGTCGATATATTTCTATTTTATTGTTACAATTAACTACGTTTGATTATAAGTCAATACTTTGATGATAATCTCAATAAAATCATAAATTAACTATTTATCAATTGTTTATTTTCAATTATATTGTTTAAAGGAATGGAATAGAAATGGAATAACACAATTATATTGACCGTGAAAGGGTTACTTAAAGCTGTGGTTATAGTGAAACCTTAATTCGTCAGATTCTCATGGAACGAGCTTTTCTAATTATTCGCTAGAAAAACAAACACCAATATAAGAGAGTAGCTACCTACATCTAGCATGATCGACGAAACTATTACTTTTGAGACTCTCATTCGTTCATCTTTAATGTTTAAAGATTTCGGTATTTATAAGATTTCATATTTAAATGTTTAACATTGTCCAAGATTATCCTTTAAAATAATAGTTTGATTTTTAGAAAAATGTTTTTTAGTTTTTTCTAATTAATCAACATTTGTTACTATATTATTTACTTATTTTGCAACTTTATACTTATAACAAATTCTAAATTTATTTAGTACGCCAAAATAGTGTTGTCCTATATAGGACAACCGAGATCATAAATATTTATTAAATCAGATTAAAAATTAACATGTTATTTCCAAACTATATATTTATTAAAAGCTGCTTTTCAATTATAAAAATTAAATTTATAATTATTTTAAATATTATGAAACGACATGGTAACGGTTAGGGACGTGGAAAATATATTTCTAGCACTACTTATAAGTTGTTTCAATCTATTTTTTTAATTTCTGTAATTTTTTCCCAATAAATAATATCATTACGGTATTAGATACATTTTATTTTATATATAGTTTTTACATTTAATCAATAATGTATTAAAGTTCAAAAGGCCGCAAATGTTCCCACAAACACATTTCACAAATAAACGATCTTTTTGGCAAGAAAAAGGTAGTTTCAGATATACCGTTGACCACGGTTAATTGCTGGAACACAAAATGTGTAATGAAAACAAAAATGGAAGCAACTGGTATTTGAAAAGAATTTTAAATAAATTATTACTTTTAACATGTACTCATGTCGAGTGGTATATTGTATGGTATTTTTAAGATGTTTTGGGTGTTTGTATGTTTTTCATTAGAATTTCCGGAGTTGGTTAATTGAGCATGAAAAAATAAAAATGTTTTCCATGTTAAAAAGTAATAAGTTGTTTAAAATTTTAAGGTTGAATCGAATTTGTTGGTGGGAATATTTGTACGACTTCGAATGAAATTGTTTTTCATATAACTTTTTTTTTATTCTCATCCTCAATATCAATTAAGTTTTCTATTTTTGTTATAAAGTCGAAAATTAATATATTATTTTCAGTTCAAATTTAATGAGTTGTTTTAAATGTTTTCAGTTTCATTTGATATATAATATATTTTGATTTTTGTATGTCTATTGGACAATTTTAAACATTTAAAAATGAATGGTTGGGAATCACAAACGTAATCGTTACTGCAAATGTATTAGATGTAGCCACTTTCTTTCTGTCGAGCTGTTTGTTCCTATGTAACCAACCACATAGGAATATGAAGTGGTTATAATTATAACTTATAATTATATAATACTTACTAATAATTAGTCGAAATATGGAGTGGGATCCCAACTTTATCGGATCTCTGCTGAGTTTAGGAACGACCTGCTGGATTCAAGCTCAGTTTAGAGGAGGCTTAACATTCCTGGAAATATTCAAAACACGTGAAAAATAAAAAAATGTATAAGGAAAAATTTACCTACTTATATGTTCATTTTCAAAATTGAAATAAACATAGACAGAAAGAAAACTGAACACAAAGATGAAAAGTAAATTGAGAAATAACAATTCTATTGAGATTATCATGAGGTAGCATTCAGTGGAACCGTCGACCCCAAAAGCCGATAAGCCGCTGCACAGGCGGATCTACGGGGGGGGAGAGCTTTCGGGCTGAAGCCCCCCCCCTCCCCAAAATGGTAAAATATAACCATGTTTTATAGAAAAAAAAAATTAAAAACTATCTCTTAAACTATTGTTGTTCTTGTAATTACATTTAATAGGACTTCAAGAATCATTAAGACACCATGTCACATGGGTAATTAGTTTTTTTTCAAATTAATTATCGTTATATATATAAAATCCTTCGGGCTGAATCCTTCCCCCCCTCCCCCAAATTACATCCTGGATCCACTAGTGAGCCGCTGAGTCAAAGGTGAATAAAACGCGCTCAATAACAATCGTGGATCCATTGATGAGTTTAGAAATGGCCTGGTGGATTTTCGATATCTATCAATGAGCACAGCGCAGAGTTTAGGAACTTACCCAGTATCGCAGTTCTTGAATGGTACCTTAGCGAACGTTCAGAAAAATATCGACTTCGCGCGGAGTAGATTTAATTCAAAATAATAAATTAGATTTCAACTTTAATACTTGCCAACTAGTGTTGGTACGGTGTGGCTACGCTAAAAATCAAATTCATTCAGCATACAAATTCTTACTCGCTCATGTAATTGTAAGTTACAAGAAAGTAGGATTAATAATTAATTACACATATATAACAACGCAATAACCTCGTTATAATTATGGCGTGTAGGAGTACTCTTAAATCAGTTCTAATAGATTTAAGTGGAACTTTACATATAGAAAATGAAGTAACTCCGAATGCTGTAGAAGCTTTAAAAAGGTGAATTGATTTGATTTATCACTCAAAATTTGCATCTGATTTATTCACTATCAAGTGTTATGTTTATTTTAGATTAAGATCCACCAATCTCAAAATTAAATTTGTTACCAATACTACCAAAGAATCTCGGAGAATACTTCATGAAAGACTAACTAAACTAGGCTTTGAAATCAAACAAGAAGAAATATTTACTTCATTATGGGCAGCAAGGGACTTAGTGAAGAGTGAGTCTCTGAGGCCATTATATTTTCTAGAAGATGCTGCTATGGAAGATTTTGAAGGTAAGAATATTTTTTTCTGTTAAAAGTGAGTTTTTTTTTTTCTGATAATCATGATTTTAACGTTCTGGCTACTTATGAAAATATTTGCGATCATTCATGTTGTATCACCAATTTTCAGTAAGTTTTATATTGATTAATATATGAGAAGAAACAAATGTAAAATTCATTAGTTTGTCTTCTAGATGTTTCTTATTGTATTAAAATTTATTAATGATTGTTCAAAGAATTGTCAAAACTTCCTAACTGTATAATGAGTTTTTCTCATTTTTCTATTAGTTTTCAATTTATTCGAGCCACAAATTAGATGAACATTAATTTATTGTCTTTCATATGTCTTCCTTACTTCATTAAAGGACAACGTTTTATAACTTTCTTCAATATATGAGTTTCCTTTTTCCAAAAGATTCTAGTTCTGAATCTTATCGGAGCAAGTTGGTTTCAAGGTTACATTGAGCATTCTATAGATAGTATCCCTAATATACCGAATATTCACAATCATGCTAACATACAATGAGAAACTTGCTGTTATTTTAGATCATATATATCAACATTTAGATTATATGTATTAATAATATACATTAATCATAAAATGTATAATATACAGAAATATATTTAAAATTTAAATATTTAAAATTACTTTTAGCTACTGAATTACTTCAATTTAATTACTGTCACATTAATTTAAATCCTAGCATTGTAATTATAATTATTTGTAGTTATAGTGCTTAATAATCTGAATGAGTGCTGGAAATTGTGATTATTGCATGTTGGAACCATTTATTTTGATATTTATTTTCTAGGAAGAAGTAAACGTTTATACAAACATTTTCGATAATGGTTCACCATTTTATTTATAACATATAATATAAAAAACTTAAATATTTCCTCCTCTATATCCATCCTTAACTACATCCTCATCCGTCATGACCGGGTGGACCGAACAGGTGGGGGTGTCGGTCTTTACGTTCATGAGGACAAAAATCCTCCACAAGTCTCTTACGACATTCCTCATTTAGAATACTTATTTGTAGAACTTTCCTCAGATTCCTTTTCCCTTCTGTACGTCATTACATATCGTCCTCCTCATGTCCGATTTGATCCTTCCTGCGAATCCACCCTTTTTTACGAACATTCCTTCATACAACGATGTAATAATAATAGAAGTCGACTTTACTACAAATTTATCCTCTGACACTTCTGACAAATCATACCTCGTAGATCTTATCACCAATATATCGTTCCTTTTCAACCTACTCACTATCACAAGGTCTCTTTCCTTTCATATCATGAACTCATCAAGATTTCCTATGATATCACGACACTTAAGTTCACTCCCAGGCAAATTACATGATGGGGTCTTGGCTCCTTGACCTCTGAAAAACTAAATCCTTTCCTCGAATCACGAGCCTAATCCATAGTTCCCATATATTCCTATTCCTCTCTTGATAAAATGGTAGAGTGTCTTTCCGCTAATCTTCTTCTATTCCTAAATCAACACGCACCCTTAAAGACCTCAACCTTTAAACTCCTGCTCTCTGGATTAATCCAGAAATAAGAGAATTAATGAAAAGAAGAGACAATGCAAGGAGGCGTTTTAGATGCACACGTGATCCGGATGACTACTTCTCTTTCAAGAATCTTCAAAACCTTACCCAATCTTTCTTGTGACATGCTAAGGCACAATTCTTTTATACTTCCTTATCACAAGCCCCAGATCCTATCTCCAAATGAAAAATCCTTTAAAATCTCTCCGTAGTAAAGTCAAAAACCTGTACATTCAACCTGTTTCTTCCGATCAACTGAATTCCTACTTTGCCAACCCTGACTCATTTCCACTTTCCTCCTCCAACAATTTCCTTTGATCCTGAAAATTTCTATTTTGCAATTATATTACCAGAAGACCTACTTTCCTCCGTCCTAAAATCCAGAACAAATGTCTATGGCCACACTCATTTTCTCCCATTTCGTTTATGGCTGCCTTGTATACGGTGGACTCTCTGGTGTGCTTGAGATCAGATTAAAGAGACTAATGAATTGTTTCATTAGATTTATTGTTGGAGTTAACCTTTTACAGACCTGTCTGTCGCATTTAATGTTATCCTATAGATAATTATATATCATCCACATTGTTTATGTGTATAAATATGTGAACTCGCATATCTGAATTTATATGTTTACCAATATCTTTTCTTTATTGTAAATTTAGATTTAGATAACCCTGTAATTTAATTTACTCCTAATTATTTCTGATGCCAGACAATTGTTATTAAATTGTATATTGTATCTATTCTAAGAGAACTTAATCCCAGAATAAAATTTATTTTTCTTCTTCTATAACAAGAACTGAAGGGAGAGAAATAGAGCTGACTTAATCTTATATCAACATTCTATATAAATGAGGATGAATTTCTCTGCCTATATTCATCTGTACTTTATTAACAGAGTTAGGGATGTTTCATATTTGGACACCTCTCTCGAGTATTTCGGGATTACATCTACAGTGTGCTCATTGTTATCTTAGAAACAGCTACCATCTTGGAACAACTATTCAGATCTAGTTCCTTAATCTATAGTTACTAATACAAAGTGATAGTATCTGTTATTTGTTTTTTAGGTTTGAAATTTGAAGATAATCCGAATGCTGTGGTCATTGGTCTGGCACCAGATAAATTTAACTGGAATAATTTAACCACAGCTTTCAGGTAGATTTATTAAATGATAAGTTATAATTCAAAAATATGGTCTGAAATATACTTTTTTTTTGGTTAAACAATAAAACAGGATTACACAATTGATAGTTTTTATCTCCTATTTATTATGTAGGAAGCTAGGAAATTAGGAAAGGATTAATATATTCTTTCATTTAATAGATAACAAAGGATTACAACTAATAGTTTTTATCTATTCAAGAAAAGAATGTAGTAAAAGAATTAATATTGTTCTGGCAATCTTTGTGCTATTGGTACTCGGGGCAAATTTATCTTCTGAATCTGATATAATTCTTTCAATGAAATAATGGAGGACTGAGCTTTTGATGAAAGAAGGCCAATGAGCCTGAATTCTATTCTATTCTATATTGTAGACTATATCTAAGATCCATGCAGTAGTCACAACCTGAATTATAGTTTCAGTTTCTTATGCTTGTATTATTATTATTATTATTTTTTAAGTTTATTCTGAACCATCCCACAACCTCTAAATATTAAAATGGGTTTTATTTGCTGATACCTTAATGATCTTTTTATCTGTTTAGGTCAAGCAACCACCTAATTCTTTTGAAATAGAGAGTTTTTAATTGATTGTTCAGCCAATATTTCTTCCTCCCTTCTGTAGATCTGGTTTAATCTGTTATCTTTCCAGTGTTTCCACCACATTGTTTTACTTTCACTTACGTATATATGAACTATAGTGTTAGGAAAAGTATTGCGATGTAAAAATTGTTGAATCTGATATTTAAATGGAAAACCACGTTTTAAGTTCACCTGAGTCTAAATAACCAAGTCTCACAAAATGGTCTGTGTGTTAACCATGTACCTAAAAAAAAAACAAGTCATATGAAAGTGAAATTGTATATTTAAGGTTTGTATATGCCTGGGATGCACAGTTTTACAATTTTCTCAAAAACCGCTCTTAACGATTTTGATTAAATTCATAATATCAGTGTAAAGTTAAGCAATTTTTAAGATAATATAAGTTTTATTATCATTGATGTTTTCTAACAGGACTTAAATCCCTAATTTTCAAAATTTCTTCCTCTAAAGTACCTTTAATTATTTTTATTTGAAATGATTAACCATTTCACATTGTAACCTGGTATAAAAAATGGTTAAATATAAAATATGAAAGAATTTGATAATTAACCCAAAGAGAAATAAGAGATCATAACAGAGAATAGTAGTAATAGAGAGATTGAAGAAATATAAGTTCAGCTAAAATATTAGCATATGCTTCCATACATAATACATGCTTAATATAATGTGGACTCCTACAATATTATGTACATATACATAGGCGTTTATCATAAATGCTAGCATTGGTATTATTTAATATTTAATTGAATAGATTACAACAATATAAAAATTAAAATAAAATTTTAAGCGGTACTTGAGCAAATAAAAATGTCCACAATGAAATATAAATAAATATAGCAGCCTTCTTTACCACCATCACTCTTGTTGGACTAAAAATATGTATTTTGTGGCACCTAATTATTTATTATAATCAAATAAATATTTGAATTATATAGTCATAAAAGGAAATTAGTGACAAAAAAAAGTAAATATAATACATTAGACAGATATGAAAAATATATGGTAATTAATTGTTTTAAATAATATTTCATGCCGTCTATAATTTTTACTTCCACTTCCCTTTGTCTGAAAATATTTATTTTTGCTAAGAAAAAGATGGTAAGTTGTGTGATGCGTACACCACACCACATTTTTAATTTCCCTTTTGGTTAATCAGATTTTCCCTTTTTTCCCTCTGAATGAACTTTATTATCCCTTCCACCCAAATATTTCCATAACATTATTCCAACATATAATTACATGAGCCTTTCAATTGACATAATGAATAACTTCAAATCCAACTTTTTTGAGTCATAATTTCTATTTCTAGTTTCAAAATTTATATCTGTACAGATAGTAAGTTGATTCTAGAGTAGGTCATTGCATTGTTGAAATATTGAACTGTAAATAAAGGTATAAATGTTTCCACTAGAAATATCACTAAAATTAATAGTAAAAATTTTGAAATTTGAGTTAATTCTGTCAACTGAAAGACTCATATGTAACTACTTATTTCATACCTGTTTTTATTACTGTATTATAAAAAAAATATATTAAACAGTGCACAGATTAGGCTTTGATAAAAATTTGTTTCCTTATTTTCTCCTTCTAACCTTGGAATTTCCCTATAAAAGGAAGGGAACTTTTTCACCAAAGTGGAAACTGAATCTTTATCTTATATAGTTTTTTTTATTTTATTTTTTTATAGAACATGATAATTGCAAATAGGTAAAGTTGAAGGTTATTAAGTTATTTATACATGCATAAACATAAGCATTTGGGTTTAACTAAATTAGAAGATAAATGTTGAACAGAAGGTGCTTGGAGTGTTCAGTCAAACAAAGAACAAAGTACAAATAATTAAATAATATCTATTTTTATTTTTGTATTTATTTATTTTTATATTTGAGATATCAGACATCTCATATAAAATATTCCTAGTACTCATATTGTGAAAAAAAATTCAAATAAATTTAATCTATAAAATTAATTTTTGTTAAAAAAGAACTATTTTCTTATTTTTTATTTAATTGTTTAATTTTTTTTTCTAGGCTGCTTCTAGATGGAGCTAAACTAATTGCAATTCATGCTGCCCGGTATTACAAAGCTCCAGATGGACTATCCCTCGGCCCAGGTCCATTTGTGAAAGCATTAGAATATGCATCAGGAACGAAGGCATCTATTGTTGGCAAACCATCAGCTAATTTTTTCCGTGCCGCTCTTGATGAAACAGAACCTACAGAAGCTGTAATGATTGGTGATGTAGGGGCAAAATTTAACTCTTTTTAGAAATAATTTATTTTATTTATTAAATTATTTGAATATTTCAAGTGAATCATCATTGAAAGTATTCTTAATCTAAACGTTCTACTGTTTTCATTGATACCAAAAGTTTGAATCTCTATAGATCTATCCCTTTCATTATTATTTTGACATGTTGAGGGAGTAAAGAGGCTCTGCCAAACAGCCAATCTTTTTATAGGCCATCTTTTTTCTCGATTTTGTGATGAAATTATTTTACGTTTCAAGTGGAAAGCAAATGAGGTTTTAATACATCATTAAATTGAATGATATAATGAGAAAATACCCCATTTCTGAGAATCCTGTAGATAAAAAAATTATAAACAAAAAATTACAAACAAGTTACAGTGAACTACTTATAACTTATCAATACTATTTAATTAACTTTATTCATTTAAAAAAATTATGATTAACTGATCTATTCAATTATTTGTGATAATGTACTATAAAATCAATGGTTTTCCAATATGAGTTGCTATTATTTTTATTAACTACTTCAAATTTTGTGGTGTTAGGATGTCAAAGATGATGTTCATGGTGCTCAAGCTCTCGGAATAAAAGGATACTTAGTTAAAACTGGTAAGTATCGTGACAGTGATGAGAATAAAATTGATCCTGCTCCATACAGAACAGTAAATAATTTTTCTGAGGCTGTAGATGACATAGTTTCTTCACTTAAAAAGGACAGCTAAATTTATTTTGTTAATGTAGATATGATAATAAAACAAACATGTTATTTATTTATATTGTTATCATTAAATAAACTATTTATTTTTGTTTAGTCCAGTTGTATTACAAACCTTTTCAAGAATTCTTTTTAACAATATTTTATGAAGTTGTTCCTTTGAAGTTGTATGCATCAGGGTTTTTATTATCCAAAAGAATGGAGGAGACAGATGATACATATGGCAAGCCAAAAATACCTGATAATATGTATACAGTAAAACGAGTTAGTAAAAGTAATAAATAATAGTAAAAATAGTGGATTCCCACAGGAACTCATTTTTTTTCTATTATAGAGAGATGTTCATTTTGAAGAAACTGCCAGTAAAACTTTATAAGACAAATAAAAGTTAGCAGATTAAACTTGTATTTTATATTGAATGTCTCGATTGTAGGAAACAGACCACATGCAAGGCCAAAAACCTGATGGATAGATCAAATCAACAAAGATGCAATAGACTTGCCTATCCTGAACTGTAACTGGATAGAAATAACATAGGTTAGGTAGAGATGGAAGAAGCCTTGTTAAGGTGACAAAAGATCTAGGTCTCTAAAGTCAATAGAAAGAACAGTATGATCGAAATTCACAAATATGTTGTCAAAAGTTCAGCACAAAATTTAGAATCGAATTGAGGGTGTACATTACTACGATAATGCTAGTTCTGATATAAGGCTCCCCTAGCTAATAGTCTAGAGAGAAGTAGTTATTTGGGAGGAAAATCCTACTTGCGATAATCAAAACAATTTGAGGTCAGAGTACTTACGGATGTAAGAAAATGACTAATGCCATCGAAAAAAAAAGGTTCGATTTGGCTCAAAGTTGGATATTGGTAAAAGCATAATGCTGTTTCAATTTCATTCCCTTTCTCCTACATATGCACAGACCTATTTACTCAGATTCTCTCAGCGTTAGCCAGAGACTTCTCAAATTTCATGGCGTAAGTTGCGCCCTCAAAATTTTTGAAGAGAGGTACATTTCAATGTGTTCATGTATTTTAGAAATGAAAAGTTTCAAACCAAGGATAAAAGTTGGGACAGTATTTTCTGGCAATGTTGGGCTATTATAAAATTTTTGAAGTGCATTTTAAACGGAGCTAAAGCTTAAAGCTTACAAATAAATCATTAAAATCACAAAAAGTCTATTTATTTTATTGACGATAGGGAAGTTGACAGAATTACTAACTCCAATTCCAACAGTTTAAGTAATTATTTTTTCTAAAACTCTCCGCTTTCTATGGGCATATTATACGTATACCTTCTAACTTATTCCTGGAGATTCATTTTCAACCTGGATAAGCATTTTATTTTTTCCAGTTTCCAATTATGATATTCTTTCAAACATCATATTTAGCCATTTTTTTTCAGTTGCTGTCAATAAAAAAAAGAGTTAATTTTTTTTAATAAATTACATTATAGGTACTTTAGAGGATGACATATATGAACATTGGGCATTTAAGCCCTGTAAAGTGACATCAACGGGGATAAGACCTAAATGATATTAAAGACCACTTAACTATACAATGATACACCGAGTTTAATCAAAATCGTTAGAGCCGTTTTTGAGAAAATTTTAAAATGTGTTTCACCGTTGAGATAAAGTGGTACCTCTGGGTAGCGGATTTTAAAAAAATAGTTGCTATAACATCTTAGTCATATACTTATCTTAAATACGTGATATCACTAGCGGATCCAGGATTAAATTTTGGGGGAGGCTTGATTTTTTTTTTTTCGATTTCCATAAATGTAATACTCGAGAAAAAAAAAGGAAAAAATTAATGCTTTCAGGGATAATTTAAACAATCTAGTTACTATTCAACACTTTTATTACAATAATATGTATACTGAACAAATAAAATAAAATTACTATCTTATATTAATAAAATTAATACCTTATTATACAATCAAACAAAAATTAATAATAAAAAGTAATTTATGTTTCCTAAATCACAATACGCTTTTAGTCTTCGTCAATGTAGAGGAACTGCAGACGTCTTGGGTGCTTTTGAGCAAACATGTCTATTACCTGAAGTAAATCTATAGATTACTACTACATTATATATATAGTATTTTTTGAAGAAAATAAAAATAATTATATTAAATAATATTAATACCTCGGAAGGATCGATGTCAATAACATTCTTGTGAATATTCATCAGGGCTAGACCGCTGAGCCTGTTTTCTCGCATAGTTGATCGTAGGTAGGTTTTAATCAATTTCAAAGATGAAAAACTTCTTTCTCTTGTACAAGAAGTAACTGGCAAGATGCAGAGTAAGTGTAACAATTTCCTAATATTTGGGTAAAATCGGGCTGAAGGGTCGCAGAGAGCATCGATTGCTTTAGACGGAGGTTTCTCTTTCTGCTGGGTCCAGTGTTCACGGCACATCGCTATTTCATTGTATAATTGAAATGCACTAGATTCTTCACAGTACCTTTCTGCAACATTTACAATCTCCTCGTCATATTTAGCTGGTTTTACAAATGCTGGAATGAGGCTAAAAAGTTTCGTGAGATCAATGTTAGTTGATGAAAATCTTGTATTCATTTGATTAATGAGTGTATCAAGAAATGGGATGAACACATTTATTCTGTAATAGTCACGGGGACAAGAGGATTGAGCATTAGGTCGATAAATTTGAGTTCTCACATTTCGGGGAGCTTCTGTCGTAATATCATGCTGTGTTGCCACTTTTTGGCTGCATCAAAAATTCTGTCGTAAAATTCATTGTCAGACCGATATTTTTGGAGTAACTTGACTAAAGAATTTGCCATAACGTAGCATTCTTGAAGTTCGACATGAGGACTATGAAGATGTACTGACAATGAAGTTGTTAAATCGAATACCGTTCCTAAAATGTGCAGAGTAATAACGAAATCAAACCTACGCACAGAGAAAAGAAGGCCGGCAGATTTGGCTGTTGGTTTTTCTGTATCAATGGCCTCCAGATATGACATGACTGAATCAATTACTTTTAAAAAGAAAGTGACAGCATCATGTCGCTCAATGAAACGAGTTTCACACAAACTTATCAGTTGGTGCCGCTTTCCACCTGGATGCTGTTTCCTTAAGATTGTGTCCATTTTGTGAACTCTTTGTGCAGAATCTTTTAATAATAACTTCACTTATGACTCCACTGGCATTTCTAATGCTAGGTTCGGCACATGCGTGAGTCAAGGCCAGATTTAGCTGATGTGATGCACAATGGATTTAAACAGCTAGGGGATTCAACTGTTTAATCCTAGCTTGCACACCTTGAAATTGGCCAGCCATATTTGAACCGCCATCATAGCCTTGACCTCTTAAATTATTAATATCAAGACCAAGTTCTTGAAGTTTGTCTACAATAAGAGCTGTGAGCTTTTCACCAATTACTTCATTGGCTTCAACAAAACCAACAAACATTTCTTTAATTTTAACAACATCAATGTCGTATGCACCAATCAATACCTTATGCACAAAGTCATCTGCTCAGTCGAACTGGTATCTCGGGTTTCATCTGCAATCAATGAGAAATACTGTGATTTTTTAAATTTCTCTCACGACTTTGTTTACAATAATTTCCCCACAGCATTGAATCACATCGTTTTGTATGGTTTTGCTTATAAAAGTAGCATTCCTTGGAGCAATTTTTAAATGCTTTTCTAATTCTGTACCACCTGCATCAATCCTAAATCTCAACAACGCCCGAAATTTCCCTTGTTGCTCAGTATTATCTCTTTCAAGTTTTCCAACACCGCGGTGGCCACGAAGAGCAATATTTTCTGCCCCACATCGCAAAATGGGTTTTACAATAGGAACCAGACGTTTCCTATTTTCGGCTATTCTTCTACTTGCTGCCGTTTCCAATAAAATGTAATTTTATTTTCAGGCTTTTCGTATGTTTTCATAAAATAAGACTGAAAATGTATGATAATTATTTTTATTGTGATCCCTAAACATTTCAAGAGCATGTTTGTTTTTTGTTTTTTCAAAGGGATAGTAACTAAATGCTCAAGCGGCGTTTTCTTTTTTATGCCCGCATCTTTGGGTCCAAAAAACACACAAACTCGAAAATACGCACCATCATTTTTTTACTATATGACAACCATGGATTGTCGCCTAGCCACCTCAAATTAAATTTACGTTTTTGTCCAGATTCGAAATAGGTTGAAAAATATAAGGTAATAATTTCGATGATGCCCGCAGCCTTTTGGGGAGGAGTGGGGACGCTTATTCTAGAGGATTGTTTACATTTAGGTTACAGTTATGTTAGGCTATCTCAATCCCCCACCACTTTTTGCTCCATAGGCACCTCAAAACCGTTAATTTTTCATATTTTATTGGCAGTATTTTAGTTTAGAAGCTTAATTTTGTTGTTTAAGTGATATGTTGAGTTTATTAATAGGTAGTTTTTTATTGGATAGTTATACGTTTTAGTGTTTAAAGTGGTAGTTTTGGTTTAATGTTCATTGATAGGTTTCATCTTCACAGACTCTTATTTTATTAGTGATATTTTGTTTAAAAGTTTAATTATGTTGTTTTAGTAATATATTTAGTTTACTAATAGGTACTTTTTATTTAATAGTTATACATATTAGTGTTTAAAGTGATAATTTTGGTTTCTTCTTCATAGACAAAATCGTGAGTATACTTTAATTCTTTACTTTATTTTATTAATTTTCCTTTTTAATTCAGTGGTAATGAAAGAAAAAGATGGAAATCAAGTTTGTAACTTTGTTATAAGAAGCTAGTGTCTATAGTTTGAGGCTACTAGCTAACACAATTTTTATCTTGAAGTCAGTAGTTTCTAGTATAAAATTGAAATTTGGTTTTCCTTTATAGTTATGATTACTTTCATCATTAAAATATGAGTATAGTTGATGATCCTTAGCTTTATTGAGATCTCTAGTAACTAAAAGTAGTTTTCTTTTATGCCAGAATAAATGATATGATTCTCATCATGACTGATTTTTAGAAATAGATTGTTGTACTGCAAAAGTTCTGAAATGAAATTATTATTTTTCTTGTTGAAATCCTAAAACTATTAATGTTTATTCAAGATGTTTTTTTATCATTTAAGGTCAAGATTATCATTTCAGGATCATCAACTACACTCATATTTTTAATATTGAAAGTAACAATAAGCAATAAGGAAAACCAAATTTCAATATTATACCTGAAATCACTGACTTCAAAATAAAAATTGTATTAGCTAATAGTCTCAACCTATAGAAATATCTTCTATAAACAAGTTTCAAACTTCATTTTAATCTTTTTCCTTCATAACTATTGAATTACAAAGGAAAATCAATAAAAGAAAGTAACAAATTAAAGGATTAAGTCATTTTGGAAACCTATATGAGCCCAAATCAACTCAGCAAGAGGTGATTTAAGAGGATTTTACATAAAGAAAAATGAGGGTAATTATTTACAAGTGGTACTCCTCCGGCCATCTTGTAAATAACCACTTGTAAATAATTACCAAAATGAATATTTAATAGTTGACCGTTGCATTATGAAGGAAGAATATGGTCCGGGGTTGCTGTCATAAATAGGCTAAATAGTGGTAAAACTATTTTATTGAAAGCCGACGTTTCGACCCGACTTTGCAGGTCTTCTTCAGGGCTACGGTTACTGACTAGTCCAACTACAGGAACTGAGTACTATAGAACTTTAGTTGGACTAGTCAGTAACCGTAGCCCTGAAGAAAACCTGCAAAGTCGGGTCGAAACGTCGGCTTTCAATAAAATAGTTTTACCACTATTTAGCCTATTTATGACCGCAACCCCGGACCATCTTCTTCCTTTCTTACCAAAATGAGTTCTGTTGATGAAGAACACATAATTAATTGTCACATTATTAAAGATAGTATTCTTAAGGGGTTTATTGTATTTAGACTTAGGATAAATTCAATTGGTAAAAATAATTTCCCTCATATGTCTATTTTTAGCAGTAAATCTGTAAATGTATATGTGCAGCATTTATAAATTGAAATTCCTTTGTAAATAAATAAATATTCTCTGTTTTATCTATTGTTTTTTATATTCCTTTGTTGATTAAAAATGTTTTCTATTTCAAGTTAATTTGGATATTTCTTCAATCAATTGATAATTGATTGTATTTTATCCTTACAGTTTTATGTTTCACTACTAGTTATTTTTACTTGGTATATCTAGTGTGATAAAATTGAAAATATATTATAGCCAACAACCTCTAATTTCCCAAAAAAGTATTGAAAAATAAATAAAACTAGGGAAAGCTTATATTCTGGACTAATGGAAAATTCAGGTGTGACAAACATTATTACAATTTATCATATTATGATTATTAATCCATTTCAATGATAACAGGTGTATTGATATTGGTAAATAGAAATTTTCAAATTATACAAAAACTAAGTTATACCACTCTGAAACAAATACTCTCCTACCACCAGGCTTAGAAGTAAAATGAACAACTTTTTCTATTTTAGATGCAATATGCAATATCTACATTACGGTAAGAGGTAAACCATTTCATAAAAAATATTTTATATCAATGATCAGAAATGAATCTGTTGATCGAGGATCAAATTTTGAACTATTTAAATTTGTAATAATAGTGGATTTATAATAGTTGGTGTTGTCCAAAATCAGTCTTGGTCATGCACTTTGCAAGATCAAGACCGGAAAAAAAAATCCCTTTTATGAAGAAAAATTAAGGTAAAATAGTTACTAAAACTTGAAAAATTGAGTTGCCATATGTAAAGAAGTGGTATAACCAATATCATTTGGAATTTAACTCTCAATTTTTCATTCAGGCTTAGTTAGGTTTTCCGTATCTAAAAAATTACAGTAATTTCAAACATCTCATTTCTCTATTCACTAGTTTCATTTTGCTGTGGAGCACAAAATATACTTCAGAGAATTCGTTGTTTACATTGAACAAACTTTGGATCATTATTCTTTCTATAATCTATTCTTACACCACAGAAAGAACCTTAAAAGTAAATAATGATGTTGCTTTTACAACCCTCATTTCTTAGTCTGCCTGTGTCCCTTAACAGGGGTGCCCAGAAGGGAGTTTCATGCCACAAGTTGCGCCATCAAAATTTTTAAGGAGGCACATGTTGACTGGATTTTGAATTTTTGAGTGAAAAGTTTCAAAACAGAGAATTGGGAAGAAACATGGGACATACCACTCCAGGTATAATTGTATATGATCTTGGAATTGTCTAATCTTACTTTCGCTTGCATTGCTTTTAAGAAGGGGAGTGAAATACAATTTTTGGAGAGAGGGGGATGGTTCATGCGCCATCGACCTTGGAGGGAATGGGCACCCCTTAAATAGATGTACAGGGAAAGTTTGAACTAATTAATATATTTTACTAATTGAACTAGCGTAATGAATGAGAGAGTTGAGAAAAAATGTTACGGGAAAAAGATAAGGATAATTTTGGTTATTTTTCTAGAGGGGAGGGCATACAGAAAAAATTTCAATAGAACCTCATTCATCTTCAATAATCTGCATAGACTTTAGATAAAGATATTTTTCCAATCATGTATTTCAACTTTGAAATTATTTTCTTTTTTTATATCAAAAAATAATTATAGGCTAGGAAAATCTTAATCTTGGTATTATCCAATTCTCCAAACATGTTAGAACAAATGAATACATTTTCAAGAATTTAGTTCAATAAATACTACTTTACTTAGAGAAGCAAAGATGCAAACATGCTAGTTCCAGCTCAAATTTTTTTCCAAAAAAGTTCGAATCTCGTAATTTCAAATATGAAACTGCTTATTATAAGTAGGTAAAATTTGTCATTTTTTTCTTATGTGTGTATTCGCTTCCTAAATATAAAATTTTCATTAAAAACTGTACTGGGTGTCCTGACCCACCCCTGTATGATATGGAAAGGAATGACCCATGGTATTTATTCCATTTAATAAAGTAGAATTTTTATTTATTAAGAAGTAAAGCACTAATTTTAAAAAATATTCTTTATAGTTTGTGTAGATTCAAGAGTTTTTCTAAATTTATGTGTTCTTGGTTAATTTTTGTAATATGGTAATTTCTAATTTCCATATTTCTTAATTCTATTAAGTTTTCTGTGAAGACTTTACACGTAAATTAAGAATACAACAATTTTTATGAATTGAAACTGTAACATAGAAGCACTGTTTGCAAAAGTGGTGTAAGTAATTTTTATAATAAATAATTAATTAAGTATTAAGTGCATTAACTGATTGGATATGCTAGAGACAGATTATTTTTAACAAATAAATTGAATTTATTTATTATTAATTTGTTGAATTTCTCCATAATATTTGATTAATTCAAAACTTCAGTTTTTTACTTACACCATTTTAGTATTCAATGGCTCATGTAGTGTACTAAAGAAAAATCCTTGTATTTAA